GGAAAACGAATAAAAATGCCTAACGCTAAATATCGAGACTTCGTGACTCAAACTATATGGAAATACAGTCCATTATCAAAAATACCAACTCCTATATCACCTTCCTCAAGTACTCCTTATCGTCTCACATACTTTGTTAATTGCTCACGTTTTTCTGAGAAGCATAAAAAAGTACATTGTAGCAATAACAGCAGAGCATGAGCTTAAAACTTTCAAAGAAGCAATGAAACATGTAGGATGGAGTGATGCAATGGCAGCAGAGATTATAGCTTTAGAAGAGCAAGGGACGTGCGTACTTAGAAACTTCCACCCAGGAATGAAGAAGGCATAAGGAAGCAAGTGGGTGTACACACAAAAGCATGATGAATTTGGTAATTTACAGAGATTAAAGGCAATATTGTTGATTCTGGGGAACCATCAAGTGGAAGGGCTTGATTACAACGAGGCATTTTCTCCAATTGCGAAGATGGCTACAGTTCGAACCTTTTTAGCAGTCACAATTGTGAAAAATTGGGAGGTGCACGCATCAAATGGATGTACATAATGCATTATTACATGGAGACTTGGAGGAGGAGATATATATGAATATACCTCCATCTTTCAATAAAAAATAACTTTGATTATGTGTGCAGGATGAAGAAATCGTTGTGTAAATTAGCTCTAGTGGAAGGCCTGCAGAGTATTAGCTGATGTGGAAAAATATATACAGTTTGTTGGGCGTCTAATCTATTTGTCTGTGACTAGGCCAGATCTGACATATCCTGTTCACATTCTATCTTTCTCAGTTTATGTGGAGTCTAAAAGAAGAACATTGGGAGGCAGCACTTCGTGTAGTGCGCTACTTGATGAAGAATCCGGGACAAGGGATACTTCTTCATTCTGACAGTGAGTTGAGGCTTGAGGGTTGGTGTAACTCTAATTGGGCAAGCTGTCCTTTAACTAGGTGGTCGTTCACAGGTTGGTTTGTGTTACTTGGTCTTTCTCCTGTGTCTTGGAAGACCAAGAAACAACATATAGTTTCACGTTCCTTTGCGGAAGCGGAGTATAGGACAATGGCTGTAGTGACTAGTGAATTAAAATGGTTGAAGCAATTATTAGGTGATTTGGGCGTACATCATTCGCAGGGTATAAACTTATTTTATGATAGTCAATCGGCTTTGTATATTGCTCAAAATCCGGTATTTCATGAGAGAACGAAACATATTGAAGCAGATATGCATTTTATGAGAGATGCAATTAAGGATGGGTTGATATCGCTTTCCTATGTGCCTATAAAGGTGCAACTAGCAGATATTGTTACAAAAGTTTTTGGGAAAGCTCAATTTGAGTTTCTACTTGACAAGTTGGGCATTCGAGATCTCCATGCTCCAACTTGAGGGGGGATATTACGATATATATTGATATTGTTTTTAGAAGGAAAGATACACGAAGTTAGGCTAGTCTTCTCTCAAGACTATAACCCAACCTATCTAAAGTAATAAAAAAAGAATATTTACTATCTAAAAAAGGATCAATATCCTGGTGCGTTTGCATGAAATGCCCTAAAGAAGCAACATAATCTGCTGCTCTATAGCCCTCTCTATAGATATGCCTGGACTCGATGGAAGAGAAAAGACGAAGGAGCACCCTAATATCTTCCAGCAATACCTGAATCTTCCACGGGCACTGAGCTCTACCCTACAAAATATTAATTATAAGTTATTCCCTCAATAAAAATATGAGAAAAACTATGGGACTGGGCAAGAAGAAGGCCATTGCAAAGGGCTGTAGCCTCAACAATAAGAGGCGTACTTGTACCAATATTATAAGACCGACTACAAATATGATTACCCAAGTGGTCTCTGATAACCATACCTGTAGCACATGAGCCACCACGCACCGAGCCATCAAAATTTATCTTAACAACACCATGATGAGGAGGAGACCATGATATATATTGATATATATTATTTTTGTTATGTGATATTATCATCTTTTAGGAAATATTATCTTGTAGAGGTGAATTATTCCCCAAGCTAATTGGTTGAATAAGTTGATTGTGAATGAGAAAGATTGGGATCTTGAGATTATTTTGACAATGTAGATTAAAAATGTTCATTGGATTTCAATAATACAATTATATATGTTCTTTTTACTAGAATATATGTTTTTCTATTCTCATGTTCGTTCGTTTTAACCTTTATGTTCTTTTGGGTATAATATTTGTTTTATCCCTTATGTTCTTCAATGTTTTATTCTTTTTGTTAAGCTTAGGGTCTACGTTATTTGAATTTATACTTCAATATCATTTGTTAATTCTATATTTTTTTTGTATATTAATTATCATCTAATAATTATGTATATTTTTTTAAATCAAGATCATGAAGGTTGACGATGATTATGATGATATTAATGATTGATTTTCAAATCTAAAGAACCTCTGTAATACTGATAAAGAACATGATGATAATATTTTGTAATGAACATTATTTATATTTACCGAGCATGATCCAAAGACAAAATTCAAAGAACATTTCACAATTAGTAATGAAAAGTATGTGACTATAAAAGTACATTACAATTACAATCAAAGCACATGGACATTTAAAACATTTTATCAAAAGATTTAATAAAGACCATTATATGATATAATAATAGACATATGTAAAGAACATAATGTTAATAATTTATTGTACATAACAAACAAATATAAAGTATATCATGTTTTCAGATGAAGAACATTACTAAATCATATAAACAACATCACAAGAACTATATGTACTTTAATGTACTTTATGTATTTCTTCCTCTCATTTCTTAGTTCCCGTGTAATTTGGCAAACGAGAGCTACATTTGGAGACAGAAAAAGTATATAAATACATGGTCAAAGTTGTGTATTCGCATGGGTACCAATTAAAAAATTGCGATTATTATAAAACATAGGAAGTACTCCCTCTGTCTTTTTTTTAAATGCCCCACTATTCGAAAATGGCCGGTTTTTTTAAGGGCCTATTACCAAATTTAGAAACTCACTCACATTATATATTATTTCTCTCTCTTTCTTTTGGCTCCACCATTATTTTATAATATTTTTTTTCTCTTACATTATATCTAGTGGTCCCTCATTTATATTTCTCTCTCTCTATTACTTTTTCAAATTTTTCTATTTCTAACCATATCCACTTATTTAATACTTTTGCCTAAAACTCCAGGCACACCTCAATGGGGGACTTAACACTACAAAAAAATTACCTTTTCGTAGTGATTATTCCGACCTTGGGTATCGATTGTATTTGCTACAAAAAGCTTTCCCAACGAATGATTATTTGATACAATATCCGCCGTTACCATAGCCTTTAGTAGTATTTTTCGATATCGCTGGGGTTGTCCTCAATAATCGATACGAAAAATTACATCCAATCGCGGTGATTATTGTAGCGATTATAATCGCTTTAAATGTTGAACTCATTTTCTTCCAAAAAAAAAAAAAACACACATATGATCTTTACAAGATTTGAACATACAACCTTAAGCTCTAATATTAAATATTTTACCAATAAGCTATGACATATTTTATGTATTATTTGTCAAATAATATTTGTATATCTAGTGTAGAAAAGGCTTTTCGTATCGATTTTTGGATTTTTGTGGCGATTGTAAACGATACGATTTCCAATAATTTTATAAATGTGCAAAAAAAGGATGGATATGTATTATTATGTTTTTCATATCGATTTTATATGGGATTACCATGGCGATTGTAAAATGATACGATTTCCTCTACAATTTCATAAATATACATGCATATTGTAGTGAATGTACAATCACTACTAATCGCTATAAAAAGGCATTTTTCTTGTAGTGTAAAAAAACGGAGGGAGTACATTACAAGCTAAATTCGTCACATATATTCTCTGCAAATGGCCAAAATAACTTCGTAATACTTCCTCTATTCCCTCCTAATATTTTTACATGGGGAGGAGAGACGGATTTTAAGAAGAGGAGAGGAATAAAGAGGAATAAAGATAGGGACCCTTGTGATGAAGAGAGTGAAAGAAAGAAAACATGTACAAATAGAAAAATATTACAATATTTGTGAAACTATTTTAAATGATAGTTATTGCAACATTTGTAAAACGGAGAAAGTATTATAATTGAACACCTGTATTATAAAGCGAAATTTTGAGATGATAGCACCTTATCGAGTCGACACATAATGGTATGCTTGTTTGAGAAATGGGAAGGTTGACTATGATGAATTTGATACTCAATGAAACAATGTTCAATATCAGCTTTCACTGCAGGAAACAGTGTAGGCACCTCAATATGTAATAGATAATATTAATTCACATACATATAAGAATCTGTATCAGATTCAACATATCTTGGAAAACAAAAGTTGGAAATAAAAGAGGGAAAAGCATGTTAATGATGACATTATAATGGGTAGACAATTAGACATCACCTTAGACTATTGGCATAACGCTTTACTGCAGTAGGTATATGCTCACACATATAACCTGTAGTTATGTTTCCGTTTCTGAAAAGTGTACCCATATTCTATTTTAAGGTGTTTTTATTTGGAAAATTGCTTTAGGCACATTAAAAATTGATTAGGATTTAAGGCACACTCATTGTAACGTCACAGTTTTAAATATTTTGTTTATATGAAGTAGGCATGCCAAAATTAATTATTAGTGTGCTTAATTAAATTATTGACGTATTGAATTTTAGTTTATTCTAGATTAATTAGCTCACAATATTCACGCATTCTTACTCATTCAATTTTATTTTATTCCTTTTTTAAAAAAAATATTACGGAGTATGTCACTCTCCTATCATAAAACAAGAGTAACCACTTACCAGTAAGGGTCTATTTGTTACATCTTATTTTTACTTTTTTTAACTAATTTATTTTATCTTATTTCATACAAAATTAGTTTTGAAAACAATTTTAGACAAAATAATTTCAAAATTTTTAAAAATACGAATTCACACTAATAATATAAGTTTGGTTTAAACTTATGTACAGATAAAATATTTCTAGACAAAGTCAAATGAACCAAAATAAAAACGAATAAAGTACAAAGTACATCCTTCATTCTCTTTTAAATGCAACATTTTGACTCTTAAGCTATTCATATACTCCACTTTGACTAGTATTGCTAATTTAAGTTAAAGAAAAAATATAGTCATGTGAAATCTTATATTGTATTCATTTCAGCTTATAGTTTATTAATATCAAATTTTCATAATTTTTTTCATATTAACAATAAAAAATATTAATAATTGAAATAACACCTTGACAAAAAATTAATCCGTAATACTTAGAATTGAAAAAGTATTTTGTTATGGAAAAAGGAAAAGAAAAAAAAAAAAAAGTCTAGTTTACTGTCCGATGATACAGAGTCTAGACGTCAAATAAAACTGACGTTAAACTAACCAACATTTAAAAATTTAAATCATCCCACTCAACTCAAACTTCCATTATTATTATCATTAAATAAAGTCGGCTTTGTTATAAATACCACTGCCATTCTACTGCGTCACTGCCCGCAACTCTCTTTCTCTCTCAATAAAACCCAACACCAACACATTTTCTCTCTCCTCTCATTTCTCTTTTTCAATGGTTGCGTGAAAAACAAGTTTATTTCCATAAATATAAATCATACGAACAAACAAATTCACTGTTTTTGTGCTTTCATTTTAAAATCAGCGTAATTTAATGGGGAAAATTATGACAGAGAAAACGAAAGTTGAATCTGTGCTTCACATTCTCAGAAAACAATCTCCTCTCTCTCTCAAACAGGTAATTACACTCCTTTTTTTTACGACGTTGTTTTTTTATTACTTACAAGAATAACCCACATGTGAGTTGCGACTAATTAAACTTTATGTTTTTGGTTATGAAAGGAGAAATTCTGCAACACGGCGTGTGTGGAGAGGTTTTTGAAGGTGAAAGGGGAGAATGTGAAGAAGGCAGCCAAACTATTAAGAGCTTGTCTTACGTGGCGTGATACTATTGGAACTGGTTAGTCTTAACTTGTTCTTTCTCTCTCATCCGGCTACTAATTTTGTCTTTTCTGATTTAATCACTTCCTCATCTTAGCATCTTTTCCTTTTTTTTTTTTTCGTTTTTCAAATTTAACTCTTATCTAGAAAAACAAATGAAAAAGTTAACCATAAAAAGTCACTTCAATTCAACAATTTTAAGAAATATAATTTTTTTTTTTTTTTTTTTTGAGAAACATAATTAAATCATGATTAATAAATGGTTTTTTCAAATTAATTTTATTTTATTCATATTTTTTTTTTCTTTTTTTTTTTTGTAGAAAATTTAATAGTGGATGAATTTTCTGGAGAGTTGGCGGAAGGAATAGCATATGTAGCGGGTCATGATGAAGAAGCCAGACCTGTTATGGTATATTTCTTTTTCAATAATTTTTATTTTGAATTTATTTGCATCATTTTAGTTTTTATCTTTTTATGTTAGATAATTTCCACTTTTGTGAAAAATTAAAGTCTCAAGGCTTTAAATTAATAAACTATGCTTTATTTCCTAGGTTTTCCGAATTAAGCAAGATTATCAGAAGTTCCATTCTCAGAAACTGTAAGCTCACCTAACTCTCTTAAATTTTTTTTTTTCCTCCTCTTTAATTTTTTAGATATATTAGATTTTAATTAACTTTTTAAATTTTTTAAAAAATGTTACAGATTTACTCGACTAATGGTATTCACGCTTGAAGCAGCAGTCCAAACAATGCAGAGAAACACTGAGCAATTTGTTATCCTTTTTGATGCAAGTAAGTTATTAATTTTGTTAGTTAAAACCTTTCCCGCGTTGATTACAATTTGAACTCATCATTGTCAATTAATTAAATTGGTTAACCCGGGTTTACATTATTACCTTTTGTGATTAAAAAAATGTTTGAACTTAAAGGGTGAAATAGTAAGGCCTACTAGCCTAGTTTAAAACCGTTCTCGCATTGATCACAATTTTACAATTCGAAATGGTTGACGTCAATTAATTAAGTTGGGTAGTCTGGGTTTACATTATTTACCTTTTGTGATTACAAAAACATTTAAACTTTAAAAAGAATAAAATCATCATTTACATTAAATTAAGCTAGTCAGGCCTACTAGCCTAGTTTAAAACCATTCCCGCATTGATCTTACAATTTAAACTTGTTGACGTCATTCAATTAAGTTGGTTAATCCGGGTTTACATAGTTACTTTTTGTGATTAAAAAATATTTGAACTTAAAAAAGGGTAAAGTAGTCATTTAAATTAAATTGATTCCCTTCGTAAAAAGGCTGAATCTGGATTATCAGGCTTAATATTTGATACACCCACCTTTTATTTGATTCTCCACACCGCTTTAATTAATTCCCTCCTCTTTCTTTTTGTTTTATTCTAGAAAATAATGCAGTGTTTTTTTTTACTTTTTGCAGATATTTCATTTTCTATAAAATTCATGTATTTCAATTCATTTATTTTAAGAGCACGCTGCACGCCTAATAATAAATATTTGCATATTTATTGAGAAAAGTAGTAAATAATAAATGAAATACCACGGTTTTCAGAAAATAAAAGATAAAAATCTGAATAAAGCAAATATTTGGTGTGTCGGAAGACCAGCATTTTGTTGGGGGAACAAATTCATGTTTTAAACTCAGAAAATTTCCCAGATTACCCTTGTTAGGTCGCTGTTTGGACCTCTGTTTTTTGTCCTGGTTAAGAGAATTATGGGTTGGTTTCCCAAGGGCATATATGGAATGTTATGAAACTTATACTGTACAATTATTTACTAAGGTTGGTCAATGTCAATCTCTGACATTTTTTCTTCTCTGGTTACTTACTGGCTTAGGAATAATTTTACTTCCCCATTTATTCAAAAGAATAACACCAATACCCAAAATTAATAGTCACATATTTGAACTCCAATTCGAACTAATTTTTATTCCGTTGTGATTAGAAATGTCAAAAACTTACTGGATTCAACTAGACTCAATCTACAACACAAATCTGAGCCAAACTTGAGCCGCTCAGATTCGATGGAACCCAATTCAATAACCCGAATTAAGACCTTTAAGTGTAATAATTAGTCTTTGAATAGAATCATACATGTTAATATTTTGTTATAACAGGTTAAGATAATATGAGCATACCACGACTATTAATATGTATCACAGAGAGTATATTAAATGTGAAGGACAGTAACCAAAAGCAAACAAAAGATGAGTTCAGAACATAAAATTATCTGTTTTGGGGGCCATTGGAAAGTGTGTGGTATGGTATAATGATAGGGGGTGTGGAAAATGCAGGCTTTTTCAGATCAGCATCAGCATTTATGAATATAGTGCTCCCAACACTGAAGATTGTGGCCGAGTACTATCCTGCCCGTCTTCATAAGGCCTTTGTCATTGACCCTCCTCCTCTTTTTCAGTATCTCTGGAAGGTACTACTGCTCATTTTCAACTCCTTTTTTTCTTATCTCATTTCAGTAATTCTATCTTTATATTCTGTTTTTGTAATTACATTAGTATTTAATTTTTTTTTAATTGTTATAACATGTAATTACAATATGATTTAAGATGATAAAAATATAAAAGCAAATTCCTTGACTCAGAGAATGAGAGACACATGAAAAGTAATACTGATAATGTTTATGGGGAATGTTAATCAAAGACTTCCTAAAGTTGCTTATTGACCTTTAGCATGCATGCATCTTTTGCATAGTGATGCATATATATTGAGATTTGTTGAATGTTTAATTTCAAGAAACTATTAAACGTATTTAATGAGATACGGAGTATGTTTAAACATTAAATATAATGGTAGAGTCTTTTTGGGGTGTCGGCTAACATCCTATAATACAAAAAAAAAAGTTTTTATGTATGTATTTCCTATGTCTTAAAATTATACTCTCGTTAGGGAAAATTTTCCAATGTCTTGACACCTAACGACTATAATATTGACACTTTATCTTTAAAATCTTTAATCCACCACTATGATGAATATATTATCTTCAAATTTGAATTCTACCTCATATTCATAACTAAGCTTAATAATTAAACCTTCCGTTTACATGTAAGTATGTAACATAAGTTTAGTAATATTCTATAGAGAGGTGGTAAGTTGAGTAGCAGAAAAATGGTGTAAAGTCAATTTCGTTGACAAGAAGAAGAGAAAATGTTGAAACAAACTTTGCTAAAGTAAAAAGAGGAAGAATAGAGCCGTTTGTGGAATTGAAACCCAATGATTGTAAAGCCTTTTTGGGTTCACATGTAGAATATGAACATTGAATAGTAAAGGAGGGAAACCAATTTGAACACATATATATATATATATTATTTTTTTAACCACATAAAAACTTTTTTCAAAATAACTGAGTTGTAACTAGGAATTATCTTCCAATCATAACCGTTGAAAAGAGTCATGATTTTTTCCTAAGTGGTAGGCTCATAATCTTGCTTCTTTTAGGGAAAACAAGAGTGGTAGTAGTCAAATTTGTTAGGTTGATTTGGTTTTATTTTTAACCTTCACGAAGTTCAAAGTTTACCCAACCTAGACAATTTCTTTCTTCCTTTTTATGCATCTTTTTGGGTAATGAGTTGCTGTTTTTTTTTTATTTTTTTTTTACTGTTTGCATGTTACTGTGCATTGTGATTTCTGTATGAGGGGCACATGACTATTAGGAAGTTTTAGCATAATAAGTCAATAACACCAATTAGTATCAAGAAATGTGGACACATTATTGCCTATTTGGTGTATATATGTTTGTTTAATTAAAGAGAAAGGCAGTAAAGTTATTTAATTAATTTATTATACTCATCACTTTAATTTAATCATCTTACTAAATTAATAAAATTTTAAACAAAAAACATTTTTTTTGATAGTATGTTCCGTACATTTTTCATGAAAAATCAATAGTATTTGACTATAAGTAGAATAATTTGTCCCAATTTATTTATTTAATTTTGATAGTTGGCAGTAGCTTAACAAAAAATTTAATTCTGTTTAATTTAACTTATATTGTCTGAATATAAGAAATATATACATTCTGAACTTTAATTATGATCAATACGTACAATTAACTTAATGTTCTTTTCGATTGTATGGTATATTTAACATGATGAAACTGTTTGACTAATTTTCAGGGAGTACGCCCATTTGTGGAGCTATCAAACTTAACCACAATAGTTTCCTCAACAGACTTCGAAGACTCAATCACCCTAGACTACAATGACTTCTCCATGTACCCAAGAGCCGCTTCTCTTCGATTCGATTCATCCTCAATCCCGGTTCACTCCTCGGCCGCCAAGATCGGCGCGTGCGCCTCATCCCGGTTCTCCTTCACCGTATCTCACAGCTTTGACTCCCTCAAACCGTGGTACCTAAGCCTCACTAGTGACACTACCTCATCTTCCAAAGTAGGCCCCACAACAACAGCTACAACAACAACAAACTCCACGTCATCTATCTTGGGCCCCAATCCTCGCTCATTCTCCTTTGCATCACCCATTGATAGAACTCCACGTGGCGGCGGCGGTTATAACAACTTTAACGGTGGTGACAAACTATTAAGGAAGAATTTCATCCCTTCTACACCACTCCCTCAAAAGTCCCACAATGCCGATACCGCCTCGGTTAAGCAACCTCGGACACCGAAGCCGTCTTTCCTCCACTCTCCTGCGGCGGCATTGTTCGGGAGGCGCGAGACACCGGCTCCGGCTAGCCATGCTATTAGTAAGGGTGAAAAGTCTAGAGAAGCTTTCTTTCCCTACTTCAAGTTTTACCGTAGACCTTACGATGAAATGATCTACCGGTCAAAAATGAAGCCTCCTCTTGGTGGTTTAATCTCGATCGTCGCTCCCCAACACCTCCGGCGCCGCCACATGTCAGTTTCTCAACGTTTTTGAAGCAATTTTACTACAAAAAAGGGAAAAAGGGTGGGTACATAAAGAGTATATTGGGTAAATTAACAATGATCATGATACCATGATGTCCAACATTATTATATTATAAGGTTGTTAATTATTATTACTATGTTTTTGTTTATTAATTATTGTCTTGGTTTCAAATAAATAGTTAATTACATTAAATTAATACTCCCTAAGTTATGTTTTTTGGTGAATGGAGATATATTAATGATACAAAATCTATGTTAATTAATTAGATGTAACATGCACTCGTGTGAATAAATATTAATTTACAAAGGTCAAGGGTGGTCGGGAGACGACGTACCAAGAAAATTGTTGTACATGGAATGAAGTTATCGTGGTCGAAACGTAGAACATAAAGGCTTTGGAAATTAAAATGTTTTAATCTTGGAGTTTATGATGTTATTATGGGGTTGAGAAACATCTTATTATTATTATTATTATTATTATTATTATTATTATTATTATTATTTTAAAATTGGAATATGAGTTCTACTACATACCACTTAAAACATGAAACTTCAAAAGAGCAATTGATTTTATAAATCGTTTTATCGAATTATTGAATTATTGGAATTGGTTTTGAATCATGAGTTTTGAAAATATATTATTGGAATTGGTTTATTTTGAGTTTGGAATTTATGGGATTAACATTGAAATTAGTTTTTAAAAGCACGTTTGCAAATAAATTGAATTTACTTATCTTGCACTTATCATACTTAGCATATTTTACTAATCCGTATTTCCTATTTGTTTTAGTTCGCCCTAGTAAGCAGTGTTGACTATTTTCAGGTGGAGTCAATATTTGAGCATATGAGAGTCTCGGGATGTTCTTCCCCTAGATTAGGAATGTTGGTCTTTGTTTATTTATGAGTACTCATGACAATGGTTTCTATTTATAGCTATTATTAATAAAGGAAGAGTTTGAGTTTCCGCTGCAAAGTATTGTTTTGGTTAGTAGTTTTGGACTTTTGGTAGCCTTGCGTAATCACGCGGCGGTAATACGCCTAAGTCTATCTGTACGGTATAATTATACGTATTATAATGGTATTTCCGTAGAGGGAGATTTGAGAGTGTTACAAAGTGGTATCAGGTTTCAAGGTCCTAAAAACATTAAAATTGGGAATAATAAAAATTGTGGGTAGACTTAAGAAGGCATATAGGATAGATAAAGTTTCGCATTTGTGTGTGAAAGTCAAAAGCTTTAATTTTTTATATAAAAATATTTTCTTATTTGTGGAAAGATGATTGAGAAAAAGATGCTCGGGTTTTCTACGGAGGCTATAATGGGCACGCCTCTCTGTCTAAGAAAGGCTCTCCTCGATGGTATAGGTAACTTTCCTGGGAGACGCGGGCTCGACCGTCCTATATCATGACTCAAGTACATTATTATTATTTTCGGAAATTTTTTTTGAAATTATTTGAAACTTGACTTGTGTGATTATGTGTGCATTAAAGTTGGTGTTAAAACACCTTAGTTATGGTCATAGGTCCGAAATTTTGGAGTTATTGCCCATGGTTGGGTGATCTTGAGTTATACTTGGTTGATTGAGTTATGAATTGCTTATTGCAAATGGATTTGAATTGAATTGTTTAGGTGATTTAGCATTGAATTGATTGTTTTGCATGTGTATGTGAAATAGATGCAAAGGATAGATGATATGAGCAAGAACTACTTTAACTTGCATTACTTGAAAGATGATGGAGTCACAGTTAGTGAGTTCATTACTAGCATTGTTACTATGGCCTCAAACCTTTATGAGAAGTATGATCTGGAAGCTTTGACCCAACCTCCTTGGATGGTTCTTTTGGCCTTAGCCCATCTACCTAGAGTTGACAAATATCAACCTCTCTTTGACAAGTATGGGGATGTGATCAAGAAAGATGGGTTGTGGAATGAAAAACACCATCATGAGGGGAAGGGGTTAGCAAGCATGTCTAGCCTTAAGAGAGACTTGCACTATGTGGAACGTAAGTATGAGCCTAGGAGGAGAATTGTGAGATTTCCTAACCTTCCAAAGAATAGTTTCTTGAGAGAAGATGAACAAATGTACTACTTAAATGCCCAACTACCTTTTTCATACATGAGTTTATGTCATCCAGTGATTTGTCCATACCACCTCTTGGTAGGAGCAAGAATTACCCTTCTCATACTCGTACTCCAAGCCACGAACCTCCAAAACGTCCAAGTCTAAAAGTCCACTTTCATGTTGCAAAAAGGCTCAGAACTCGTACCCAAGTTGTCAATCAAAAACCACCAAGTCCAGAATATCATCCACCTTCACCAAAAGTCCAACCAAAGCCCAATGCTTCTTCAAATCAACCTTATGCAAGCCCGGATGATAATCTAAGTGAATCTGGGTCAAGTTCAGGCTGTACTCCAAGCTATAGTTGTAATACCCCGTATATATTTTTATACGTATTTTAATTTAAATAATTATTTTCTTAAAAGTATTTAAATAATTCGAAATGAAATATTTAGGGTTTTAAATTTAAAATGAATGATTTTGATTAAAAGTATATTTTAATTATTAAATAATCTTGAAAATATTTTTTTTATGATGTAAAAATATTGGGGCATATTATTTTATAAAAAGATAATTTTTAAAAGTCAAAGTTTTAAAGAAAGTCAAAATTCTAGTTTGATTAGGAATCCTAGTTTGAGTGGGAAAGGGATTATGAAGGGTAGTAAGTAGGAGGTTATGAGAGAGGCTATAAATACCCATCATATGCCTAGGGTAGAGTGCAACTAAAGGTAAATTCTCTCTCTCCTCTTATTTTCTTTTCTCCTTAATTTTCCCCTTCCCCTTTATTTTTAATTTTAACGTTTTAAACATGTTTAGATTCTAACTCGTCCGATTTTTACAAACAAATAATGTTTTTCGTGTGTAAACAAGTTTTAATCAAAAATCACTACCTTTGGTAGTGAGTACCACCCTCTTGTGGCCAAATTCAGCCTCTAAATATGGTTTCGGGCAGTTTTTGAATTTTAACGAAGGATTAATATTTTAATATAATTTTCAGATTTAGTTTTTAATCAAAAAGCCCAAAATTGAAAACCCTTAGTTTCTAAATTAATGTATATTGATGGAATTGGATTGTTGGTAATTTAAACTATTGAAATTAATGTTCTTAAACATAATTATAGCAATTTTTTATGGTTTAATAAAGTTGGAATTTTTATAAAAAGGTTATAATTAAGTTTCTTGAAAGGATTTTTAATTACCCATTAATTGGGAATAAAAGTGAGGGTTTCAAATTAAATTTCAGATTATTTTAGAGGTTTTATGAGTAATTTAAAGAGTGTATATATTGCTAGAATTTTTATATAAACACCATGAATGAGTTTTTACTTTGTGGTTTTAGTTACCCACTTAAAGAAAGAGTTTTAAAGGTTTTAAACCAAAATTTCAGCTTATTAGAGAGGGTTTAAAGTGTTTAAAAGTTGCTGGAAATTTGTGTAATTAAGGGAGTAATTGAGTTTATAATTTTGGTTTGTAGGAGACCTCTAAGTGAGTGATTTTATTTAGTTGTGGCGATTTTGAGATCATATTCAAGGTATGTTCGCGTACTTGGTAATGTTTAAGTGTATAGAAGCATGGTAGGCTTTGTTTAATTAATTCCAAGTAGTATCATGATAGGTGATGGTTGGAATTTGTTGATTGGATCGATGTTGGTGAATGATTTGTGATGTATGAATTATTTGTGGTGAATTGGTGATTGGAATTAATTATGTTGGCATGTTGAATATGAACCACACTTTTATTATTGACATGATAGAGAGCTTGTTTAATTAACCAAGTGTTTAATTTGGTTTGGAATATTGAAAATGAAATTTATTATGGTTCATATAATTTTTATTGATGCTATAAGCATGCACTACAAGAAATAGGTCGGATTTCGACGGACTTAATTTCCGTCGGAAAAGGCAAGTTACGACGGAAAATCTTTCGGAAATATCCTGACGAATTTTTTCCCCCTCGGAATTTTCAGCTTCCGACGGAATATTCCCTCGGAAAATTTTTTCCGCCAGAACATTCCGTCGGAAGCTGTAAATTCCGAGGGAAAAAATTCCATCGCAACAAAAAAAACCAAAAAAAAAAAAAACCAAATCCTAACTCTAACCCTTTTCTCTTCCGCCCTTTTCTTTTTTTTCCCTCTCTTCTCTTTCTCTCTCCCGCGCCTCTTCTTTTCTCTCTTTCTCTTTCTCTCTCTTGTGCCTCTTCTTTCCTCTCTTCTCTTTCTCTCTCCTGCGCTTCTTCTTTCCTCTCTTTCTCTTTCTCTCTCCTGCGCCTCTTCTTTCCTCTCTTTCTCTTTCTCTCACCTCTCTTCTCTTTCTCTTTCAACTCCTGGTTGCCTCTTTTCTTCTCCTTCTTCCTCTGTTTTCTTCTCCTTCTTTCCTCTCTTCTCTGTTCACCTCTTTCTTCTCCTTCTTTCCTCTCTTCTCTGTTCACCTCTTTCTTCTCCTTCTTTCCTCTCTTCTCTGTCCGCCTCTTTCTTCTATCCATGACCAACACCATCGCCATCACCAACACCAACAACCAACAACAACAACAACGGAGACCGCAACCACCGTGCAACCACAACGGCGACCACAAGAACACCGACAACCCGCAACAACATCAATTGCACAACCACCATCGCGAGAATCGTCAACCGCACAAGTATTGTAGATCTAGTTTTATTTTTTTTTATAAATTTCTGATAATGGTTAATTTTTGAAGTAATTCTAATATTAGGTTATAAATTGTATGAGATAATTGTATACTTATCTAATTCCTTAAAATTTTTGTGGTTGATTTTATTTTTATTTTTACTGAAATTTGGAATGTTAGATCTTGTTTCGCTTTTTTTTTTGGGTTAATTGTCATTGTTTTCATGATTAATTTTAGATTTACATGTTTTTCATTATTAGATCTACCTGTTTTGGTGGTTAATTTTAGTTTCGATTTTTTTTTTTGGTGGTGAACGGTGGTCGTGGTGTGGGGTTTGGGCTGGTGGTGGTCATTGTTTGAGGTTGGGGTTGGTGGGGAGTGGTGGAGGCTTGTGGGGAGTGGTGGCGGTTAAGGGGGAGGTGAGGCCGTGGGGTGGTGATGGTGTGGGGTG